ATTTCTGCCACCACATCCCCGGAGCGTTACCTCTGGCTGTGATGTGACGCCGCAGCCTCAGCCACCTCCCCAAGGGCTGGGAATGTGAGGGCACTCAAGGCCACAGCCCATGGCAGCTGCTTGGGGGGGGCACAGAGCATCCCCAGGGCCACCGAGTGCAAAATCATGGAGAAACTTTCCCAGAGAGGAGAATTTTATGATTCTATGAAAAGCTTGTCTTGAAATTTCCCTGTACAGTTTTAAGAAAGACATCCACTGTGCACAGACACAACTAACCTCCTTTATGGTATCATCTCCTGTTTTATGTATCCTCAAAGGCCAGCTGCAGACAGATGTGCTTTCAATGATAGGCATCTTAGTCTACCATTGATTATTAATCAGCAGACATGCTGTAGGCTAAATGCAAGTAAAAGCCAATTTAAATACAACTTTTTCCCCTCAAGAGTCTTTGAAGGGCCATATTTTGCCAGTTTCAAATAACATATTGAAATAACTTTTGCTTTTGGAAATAATATTTCATTTTTCAGGTATCAAAAGAACTTCACTATTCTTTCTTCAGTGATACTTTAGTGATAGTCTTGGTTTTGTGATAGCTGGATGTTAGAAATGGAGAAGCTTAGCACAGTTTACTGAGGTAAGGTTTACTCTGATTCAGAATAGATTGGTAAGGGATTCCAGCACAAAGGTGAGGTAAATCAATACATATCACCTGCAATAAAGATAAGACTTGTAAGCCGATAAAGGAAAAGTAAACCCTGTTTTAATGTATAAGAAACTTAAGAAACTGCTGAGGAATTGATATTCTTTTTTTTTTTTTTTTTTTTTTACTAAGTCATGTGAGGTAACTATGTTGTTTAGAACTGACAGATGCCTTTGAAGCATTTTATCCGGATCAGCTATCTTGCAGAATCTTCTTAAGCTAAATAACAGATTCTGTACTAACATCACTATCTACACTAGACCTCAGAAGTATATAAAGGCTGCCTCAAAGCAAGGAAGCGGATTCCCAGATTGCAGTCTCACAAATCACCAAAATCACCTCAGCGTACCCTACAGCCAGCTTGCTGGTGGCCTAGTGCTTCTGTTCTTCATCTTTCAGACTCATAAGAAAAATAGCTTTACTACGTTCATTACTCCAGTATCACTTCCTCACTTAATAGTACCTGTCACAGGGATGTTGCGTGATTTTTGAGTAGGAGGGTACTGGTCAGAAAAACTCTCATGTTTTACTCAAAACAATCTGGTAATTCCTTCTGAAAATGTCTATTTGAATATCATTAAGGACTATTTAGCTTTCAAGCTACTCTTTGAGTACCTCAAACTTTACATTAGAAGTTGGAAACATGAACTCCTAAGTGTGTCTTTCCTCCTTTACTATGATATTAAAAGAACTTGAATGTAAAATGAAAAAAAACCCCATATAGTATTTCTACTATAATGTGAAGAAGGTATGGTGTTTCATTGCTCTGCAATTAAATATAACCCATAATGATTTCTCATAGTTTACAGCTGAAATCTGATTTTCACTTCTAGCACACCTTTGGGATTCAAAGCATATGTATTTTAGTATTTGTTCATTCAATCATCAAATTGTGCAGTTTGTCATGAAGATATACAACCTGAAATATCATTATCACTGACTACAACAAGCTGTATTGTGTTACCTTATTGAATATGGGCACATTATTGGCCAGTTTTCTGAAAAAAAATTTCAAATAAAATTGAAGCATCACATCTGTTGCCAATGTAAATATAAAACAAGTAGGAACAGAGACTCAGACTGTGACTGATTGCAAAATAAATGTAGGTCTGAATTTATTGCTGTGTTTAGAATTTATTAGTTCTCTGCCTTTAACTTCAGAAGTTCAGCCAAGACATTCCTACTTAAAAATTACACTAACTCCTTATAAATGTCTGGGTAAAGGAGTAGAATATTTGTGAATCTGGGTCTGTGAAAGCCACTGACTTCCCTGCTAAGACAAAAACCAGGTTCTGAATTATGACAGGGACGTGCAGAACTTGGAAGGTCTCATGAAGGCTCACCACTGCCTTGGATGAGGCCAGGGTTTAACCTAAGGAGTGTAAGGGGTCTAAAAAGGAATTCAGGCAGTGGAGAATAGGAGGCATTGCATTGGATCCCAAGAGGTTTAAAAATTGGCATGCAAGAGAGGAAGCACAGTTACACCTGTACACAGATGAACCATATGAAAACAAAATGCTGTCAAGCCAAAAATTTTGTGCTTTTTAAAAGCAAAAATTCTAATTTTTTTAGGTGTGCAGCAAAAATTAAATTCCCCAGGTGCAATGGGGGGGTACGTGGTGTGGCTTGAACAACCCATGTTAAGAGGGTATGAGAAATAGTACTATGCAAGATAATGGCCCATGAATGTTACAGGCAGATGCGACAGATTTGCTGTATCACTGGGTGGATTTACATGTGTATGTGCTGGTTAATTGGCAACAAATTCTAATAACTTACAAAAAAACCAAACCAAACCAAAACAAAACACAAAACCCAACACTTCAGGTGGTGTGCTAAAAGAATCATTACTATAACCTCGGGCTATCCACAATAACTTAAAACATTCAAATCCTGGATCATTCATACTGTTAATGTGTTACTATTTCAGACATGTGACTAATTTATAGAAAGTGATGTGGCTTGTTGAAGAATTCAATTCACTCTGAGTGTTTTCAACAGCCAGTAAGAAAGAGCCAGTAAGAAAGGTGTCTATTTCAAAATGACAGGACTCCCTTCTTCTTCCTCCAGATTTTGACTATAATATGTCAATTTATGAAGAAAATAGAGTAGTTTGCACAAACTCCTATCTCTTTGATAGGAAAATAGAATAGGGATTTATTCTTTCCTCAAGCCTTTTAAGTAATTTCTTTTTTTAAGAAGATTATACAGTTTGTTATTTCAGTGGATCATCTAGTTAGACTTCACAAGACAATATATTCATGTTTGGGGAAAATACAATAAGCAGGGTTATTTATTCATCTGCTTTGATTATTTCTGCAAAGTCTATTGTCCCAGTCCCACAAAATATGGGGATGTTTTTAAATTAGCAATTTCTTTCTGAAGTAAACCACCTCAGTACTAAAGTACCATGGATTTTACGGACTGGGTGAAATGCATGTGTCTGTATGCATTCAGAGCACATTTTGAATAAGTGAACTACTTTGAAAGGAATGAAACTGATATATTCTTTCCATAAAATTACTAAAAGCTGACCTGTAGCTAAAAAAAATACCACATTTATTGACAAGGTGGTGTGCACTGCTGAGGTACTTTGCATTGCAATGGTTCACCTACTGCAAAAGTAAATGAACAGCTAAGGTATTACCTCAGGAATTCTTTTTTTTTTTTCATTTCCGCATTTACACAGGCACTCCTCCATCCAAGTGGCAGGTAAACTATGGAGTAAAATGAGATGATAAACTTCTTGAGTGTTTTAGTAAAAATATCACAACAGAAACACCCTCTTCAAGCAACTAAATAGAAATTATGTACTTTGAAAATGTTAGGGACATCATTAGGGAAAAATAATCCCAGTGAAACCATCAGCATTACACGATCAGGGATTATTCCCCACTGGAACATGCAATTACAGCACTGTTCCTGCTGAGGTCGTAATTACTATTATCCATAGGGTGGTGGTTGCATTTACCTTCCTGTTGGTAATTCACAGACTGGATTGGACAGCGAAAGACAACCCCACTCCTACTCACAGCATGACTGGTACACTGACTGTCCAGCATGGGGAAGAATTCATAATCTAATGACTGTCATTACAAATAAGAACTAATTCTCACACAAGAGAATTCTTATAAGAAAGTTCATGAGATCTTCCAATCCAACAGCTGCTCTCTGTGACTATTTTAGCCTACGCTGACAAACGAACAAAAGCTGACAAACAAAAGATTGCTGAACTGGCCTGACTGTCTCTTACCATTTCTCCTTACAGTTGTGTTGAAATAGACACATAACTCCAGTGCTATGCAATTTTCTCTGATTTCTCTCATATAACTATCTTATGCAGCTGATTTAGGGTAATTAAAGAAGCTAGCATATTATCTGCATTTGGACACATCTGAATGATTTGATAATTAGGAAATTTCGTGCTACTTTGAAAAAAGAAAGGAGATTCTGCCAAAATTCCAAGAAATTCACTCCTTTCTGGATTTCTACAAAGATTGTGTGTTAACAACTCATATCCAAATACAGTTTAAAAATTCTGTTAGCATACTAACACATCCAGTGAGTGCTGAATTTTCCTAAGTGAGGTTGAGAAGAGGCAAAATTAAAGGAAAAGCTTAAAATGTTGTAAACAGTATTAAAATCTACTGCCAATAAGTAAAGTAGAATTAAGAATGAGCCTTAATTCCAGAAATGTTATGAAGTAAACAAACCAACAAACCTGCACAGCTTATCATCATAAACACCCATGAAGTGCAGGGGGTCGGGAGTGCAGGTCAGGGAGTAGAGGGGATTTTTTTTTTCTGTGTTACACAATTACTTGCTTGAGTGCCTCGGGCACATGAAAGCTTCATTCAGGTGCGCTTTGCATCAGGGACAAGACAAGACTTTTATCTGTAGATTCTATGATTTAGCTATGTCCCTTGGAAAAGAAAACATACCTGTTTCCTACAGACAAAGCAAGGCAAATGTTTTGCATTCGAAGTGATTGTGTTTGGTTTTCAGTATTTGATCACTGGGGCAAGAGGGAGTGGGAAGCATGAAAGTACACAGCCAGCAGTCTGTGCAGAGGAAATAGTACAGACTACAGAAACAGCAGATTCCCACCAACCATGAATTTTGAAAGTTTTTGGCAGCTTCTGCTTTTCCCCTCATGCTTGAGAACATTTCAAAGGCGGGATTACAAAGGAAGACATCACATGTTCAGTTCGAAACTGTAACTGGGGCTCCAGGGAGCAGAGAGGGGGCAGGTACAGCAGCAGCACACGCTGTTTTTAAGGACTCACTTCAAAGCACTTACCTTTATACCTCTCTGTGCAGGTAAGGATCACAGCCCAGCAGATGATCCACCGCCTCTCCATTTAGACAATAAGGAGGAGGATTAGTTAACCTGAGACTGCATTACCAACCTGGGCCTCTGACCTAAATACCACAGTTAAGCAACAGTGTTTTGTGAATGTAGGACTTCAGGCAGAAACTGGACTGATACAAACCTGGCACATGACAGACTTTGCTCTAATCAAGTGCTTTATAAACAAGCAGCTCCTGTCTTGCACCTATGAATTATGAATTTCTCAATACATCCAAGGGGTAAGGTTGTCACATACCAGAAACCCGAGGTCATAGAAAAGACCAAAGTAGTATCCTTAGAGCAATAATTAATGTGACTAAACACCTCTATTAAACCTCCTACACTTTTGCTTTTACCCTGGGAGGATTTTCTTGGCTAGAAACCCCTACTACATACTGACCAAGATTTTCACCTTGTTCTTTCCAAGTGGCATGCCTAGAGTGCAGAGAAGAAGATACAGAAAAAAAACGCACATAACCAACCTCCACAGTAAACCATAGTTAGCCCGAAACCTGCTATACCCCTGCCTTTACATCTTTTTGAGAATTTAAATGCTTGTATTGGCAATTACTTTGCACTGTTTAAAATTTCATCTGTCCCAGGGAAGTAGAGAAGGGAAGAGAAGAAAACTACCACTATTTGGATATTCCTTTTGCCGAGCCTATCATCTTTGTTAATAGCCTCTAATGAATAACTCACTCAGGGATAAACATGCTAGCATTATTATTTTGCCAGCAGAGTCAGTATGATTCAGAAGAAAGCAGTCATATGACTGTCACAGTTTCCAAGTTGTATAAAGCTGTGGGAAAACAAAAATTAGTAGCTGAGAGAGAAGGCTTAACTCTCACTACTGCAAACAACTCAGCAGCCAGTGCCTGATTCAAAACACAAACACACAAACTTAAAAAGGAAATATTACTATCCAACAGAAACTACTCTAGAGCAGAGAGGTTTCTCTTGCCTGAGAGGCCTTAGAATTTATTACACCAACTTGCCTGAAAAAGCAGTTCTTTGACACACAGTCCGTCTTCTTAGTGTCTTAAATTATGCTGACTTTAAAAGTGCCAAGATGGACATAAGAGTGCATCTAGGCATGACAACTCATGCTTCCTACACCAGACTTCCCTTTTGCATCCTAGTCTTTTGAAATGGGTGATAACAGTCATCAAAAGGTAAATGTCTGCTCAGAGATCACTGTCCTGGCCAGAGGACATTCCTTTAGAAGCCACTGACATCTGATTTCCAGAATTCAGAACTGGTTTTTTGACCTCTTGGGGTCAAGACAAGTTGATTTTAGGCATAATATTGTTACCTTATCAAAGGCCCCTTTGTGTGAGTTTGTGTGACAGGGTTCTACGGCTCTGGGGGGAGGAATGTTTACCAGCAAGCAGCAGGCTGAGGAGATTATTACATGCTGAGAAGCAGCATGTGAAAGTCTCCCAGGACCGGTAAGCTCTGGAGACCAGTTGTTCTGTTAAATCCACCAGAACTGATAAATTCAGAACACCATAAGCCTGCTGGCTGTGTACATAACCACTACCCACATCAGTATCAACCATGGGGTGCATTAAGTTGGATCATGTACAGGATTACGTACACACACTCAGTGAAGCAAAGAGCTCTTCAAAGGACTTTCTAAACTACCTACCTTGAGTCAGAGGTCCCAGAGGTGGGACCTGGCCTCCCAACTGTTACTCCTACAGAGTAATTATGAGTGTGTAACTGAATGTGCCGTGCGTGAATAGTTACCTGCTATCAGTAACAGCTCTAATAACAAAAAGCCTTTGTTCGCTGTGATGTGTATGTCTCCCAACTTAACCTGCTATCATGGAAAGGGGAATTTACAGAATCAAACATCCAGCTACCTTATCAGTTATTTCTTGGCAATACTAATCCCCTGTACATAGGACTGCTGCTGCCACTGATTTTATCTGTCATATGACTTGCTTCAAAAAGTACTTGCAGAATTCACTTTATGCAAGATCTCATTTCCAAGACTTTCTTGGAAGTCAGAAAATGGAACTCCAGCTGTTCATGACAGAAACAACCTTAACCAACCAGTTTTTGCTAGTTTGTGCAATTTGGACTCTTTATTAGAACACCAGCATGTGCAGAGATTAATCATCATGGTAGACCAAATAAATAGAAGGTTAACACCTTTAGCTGCTTTTACGTCTGAAAGGCAAATTTAGGAAAGGAAATACTTCTGAACAAGATTCCTGCTGCTGCTACTTGAAGATAAGCTTCTACGGAGCCTGAACCTCTGTTCATGCCTGCTCCATTTTTCTATTATTTCTGGCAAAACCCAACACATACCAGCATAAACCTTTCAAGTATTTCCAGCAGACCTTTAGATTTTGGCACATAAAAGTATCTCCATGCATATGCAGTACACCTACCTGCAATTGCATCACTGCCGCTGAAAGCTGTGCCATGTCATTATTAGTCAGTTGGAGAACTACTCCCAGGAATCTTAAAGCTGTTAGGAAAGCTCTTCACGATCTCATCTGACGATATGCAAAATAAACATCAATGCCTCAGGAAAGACTCCTTAGTAGGAACATGTTGTATTTATTACTATTCTATTCTAATAATTTTACTTCTACACTTCTGTGATTTTGCTGTTTGCTTCTTTAAAGTAGCAACTCCACGGAATTACAAACTGGCAATTTGGGTGCCGAGCAGCTTCTTTTCATTTGTCTCACTTTGCTAGTTCAATACAGGGATGCGAACACATGGAAGTTTCTCTTTAAAGACAGACAGACAAGTATGATGGTTATTAGGTAGTGCTAACAAAAACTATCTGCTGGATTGTCTACAGTGCTTGGCGTAGACTCCTTCAAGCGCCCTGAGTTAAACAGTAGCTTTGTTCCTCTGAAGGTTTCTGCTTAGATGGCTTAGCAAGGTCTTGTCCTTCGCTGCAAGCTACAGGTTTGCACTTTTAGAATTTTTCATTTCATTTAAGTGTTTATAATCAGGAACTTCTGGAAATTCCAGTGACAACTGACTGCCAACCCCTGACAATGAGCTCTTAAGCTTTGACTATTGCCTGAACAGAACTGCGGCTTAACAAAGAAAGTTGTTTTTTTCTTTAACAATTCTTTCTCATCCGGTAAATACTGAGTTTCAAATATCCATGACAAATTCTTAAGACGTTCTTGGCATCTAAATGAAAAATTTCCCTTCTTTATAGCAAAAAAGGAGTCATTTAATACTTTGAGTATCTCCAAAGTGAAGCTACATCACTAAACTGGATTGAACTTACAAAGCACAATGTTCTCTCATTTACTGTTTTTCTAGCTAGTATTTTGCATTTAATGTGCATTGGTTCACTCCTGTTGCCAATATAAGAAGACGCCTTGGACTGAAAAACATCACCACTTAGTGTTTCTAGAAGACATACGTTCAGAAGTTGAACTTTCTGATGAAAAAAAAAGATATAAAATTACTCTAAAACATCAGTATTCCTTTGAGTCAATAAATATCTTCCACTTTTCCTGCCAAATTTTTATTGTCAGAGAGAACACATGTGGGAGATATTCGCTATTAAAACTCTGTTTACAGGGAAAATGAAAAGCAAAATTTTGACAACTTCAGAAAAATGGTGACAAACATTAGCAATGTTTTACTTACATAAAGCAGAGATAAAAGGAAGCAAATTACTTTTCTGCCTCTCATGAAGCTGAAAAATGGTGGAAAAAATTGATTAAAAAGTTACTACCTCAGCAAGAAGTACAAGCGGTTCTCTTCTTGGATGCAAAGGCAGTGTCTTGTTCAAACCAGAGAAGGGAGGAATAATAGGCAAAGTTGGCCATTATCATTTAAACTACTTGAGATAGGCCAAAACCACTGAGCAACCAGTATCAGCAGACAATCATCTGACTCTGGAATTGAGCAAACTCATCTTCTGACCCTGAAGGTTGGTTAATGCCCAAGGAAGGAAAGTTTCCTGCAGGATTTGCCAATGAGATTAGCCCTACCACTACATTCTGTGTGGGAATGGACTTCTCAAATCTGAAGCAGTTTTATTATGGAGTGAATCTTCACAAGATCTTGAAATTTGGTAAGAGGCCTAATCTGGTTCTCCAGCTCCAAAAAATACTCCACAATCTCTCAGATCTAAGGGTGGACTCTAGAAGATAGGGCTGAAAGCTACAATCGGTTTTCTTCCTCAGTTGGTATCACTAGAAATTATTTAAAAGGTTTGATATATTATCAAGATAAACTGCCTCTTCTTTGAATTTGAATGTCAAACTCTATACTCAAACTACTCCATACTCATCTTTCAAGTTCAATAAGACTATTTTAAAGGGTACATGCTTGTTATTTTTTTAATCTAAAACAGTTCATTTATAGTTCAAGAATTATGATTTTGGAGTAGGACTCATTAAAAAATACCTTAAAATATATTTTCAAAATCTGTAACAAAATAATGACTCATCAATCTTTAATATTAAATTCTTGCCAAAGCAGTTACAAGTCAAAATACCAGTATTTATCTGTAGAAATAACAGAGCTTTAGAATACAAAGCAATATAAGTATCCATGAAAATATAAATAATATTTAATATTACAATTTTAATAAAATACTTTTAAAACAAATTTAGTCAATCGTTTCTAGGACTTGCTCAGTTTCCACACAATCATATCTGAACTGAGCTGAGCTTCTGCTATTTTCAAAGCCATTTTCCGGTAAAGGGCACCATTCATTGTTTGATTCATACTCAGCACACACTCTTCCCGTTCATTCTGAAGCTTCTTCCTGAATTGCTGAACTCCTTCCTCAGTGTCCAGTAAAGAAGCCAGAGGAGCATTATCGATTTTCTTGCCAGCCTCGTTCCCCCATGTCAAACTGTTTTCAGCTTTACTTTCTTTTGAGAAAAAAGAACTCTTCGAGGTGAGCATTTCTTTTACCAAAGCCAGCGCTAACTGTTCAGCAAGTACACTTTTTCGTCCAGATCTCAGGAGTTTTACACGGCAGCTTGGCGGTAGAACTCTAGTAAGGCTATGAAGGCACTGGAACAAGATAGTCAGATTTCTGTAAAACAAGATTATTATTATTATTGCTACCTTATATC